TTAAGAAGTTAGATTTCTCTTTAGATTTCATATTTCTTTTTAAGATGTACAATGTCATTTTAATTCATAAACTATTGTTATTGTTATGGAGCTGTTCTATTATTTTGGGTTCAAGGTGTTTTGAGTTCTTGATTATTTGGTTCACAACTATTTTACATTCTAATGTATGAGTTCAAACCTTAAACCCTAATTAATATATTGTACAAACCATATTCCCTAAATCACATAAAGAGTGAATAATAATTTTTTTTTTGTTTAACAAGTTCCCATTTAGTATGTAGCAAGTCGATTTTATTGAAGTTATAGTTTAGATTTTGACTAATACAAATTAGTGTTTCTGCATTTTTTCTTTTTATACTTGTAAAAAGTCGACTTTAGTGTTTTAGAGTGTAGTATTTAACAATTGGATTTTAGTGTTTTAGAGTATAACCATTTATAGTTTATACCTATTAGGACTCACCCAAAAAAATTTAAAATCCGACCCGTAACCCAGATCCACACATCCCCAAACACGTGATTTGCTTATCATTTGTCGAAACTTAAGAAATCAAAGATGAGAGAAAAGGAGATTAGGATTCTTTCTCTGTGTATCTAGAAACGAAATAAAAATGAACAGTTCATCAATTTCTTCTTCTCGTTTTCTTCGAATCTCAACTCATGGTGTGGCTACAAGATGTTGGTGTAGAGAGCGCATAACCACTTTTGGTTAATCAACGGCAGAGAATCTGTTTCAAAGATTCTACCAATGCAAAATTGCAAGATATGTAAGTTACAAAATTCAATATATATTCCAACTTCGTTTTGCAGATTAAATATACTATATTGCTTATATTTACAGTTAAAATTGAATATTGATTGAATTTGTTTTCGTTTGTGGTAGAGAGAATCTGAGAATCATCTATTTAAATGGATTGATGAAGCTTTGCTTGACGAGATACAGTATTTGCGAAACATGAGAGGATTTCTCAAAGGCTTACGAAATTTGAAGAAATGGTTACGGAAAATGTGAAGTCTGAGATTGCTAGAGTTGAACATGAGATGTCACAGAAGCTGAAAGAGAAGATGAACTTGGAGATTGCTAGAGTTGAAAAGGAGATAAAACATAAGCTAAAGATTGCAACATTGGCTATGGTAGTTGTAAGAGAAATCATAGGGATATAGACTTCTATTATTATCTGAGAAAAGTCTAGTGATCGATTGCTTATTGTGCTTTTCTTTGTTTTTGAAGCTAAACAAGTAACAGTTGTCTAAAGCCGGTAGCGAGTGTCAACAAGTCTAAACCAGTAAGATTGTCAACATGTCTAAAACCAGTAACGATTGTCTAAAACCAGTAATGATTGCAGAGTGATAGAAAGTATCAATTGCAGTACCAAACACCATAATGAAAAACAAAAAAATGACGAGATGGCTAAATAGCTATGTCACATGTAGCCCTATTATGATTCACTTTGCCACAATGACTACATCTGCGTTACTTTTTCTCTTGAGTCCTTGCGATGAACGGATATTGTCTTCAACTGTCCCGTATCTGCGTTTTCTTCTCCTTCTTGGTCCTCTTCTGGTTTCAAGAAGTAGCACATTACAATTTCCAACATCATCTTGAACAACACAACTATCCTCATGAGCACCTATTGGATTGATGGTTTCATGATAAAATGTTTTCCAAGAGGAAGTAGTGTACATGTCATCCGTTAGCGAGTGTGCGTCTCGCCGAACTGTTAAACTAGCCTTAATGGCATGTCTACATGGAATTCTTAGCAGGTCGTATTTCTCACAAGAGAAAGTTCTTTTATTCAAATCAACCATGCAGTTGATTGTACCTCCATGAACAAAAAACGATTCTCGTTAACTAGTTGGACTATAAACATTTTGCCCTTGTTTATCGCCTATCTATCTTCTTCTCGATGACAATAGTTAATGGTTGTGTATGCTTTCTGCTTCATGTTTGACGTTGGAAGAACCAACGGGTCAGCATTTCTTTGATGTTATCTAACAAAGGAACGATTGTTAACTCTCTTGGTGAGCGCAAAGCAAAGTTTATTGATTCAACTGGGTTTATTGTTCGGATATCGTACTTGAAGCCTGGAAGCTGACAGCGAGCCTACTATATAAAATATGAATATGTTAGATGTTTTCCAATAGCTGGACTAATATTGCATACAAGTTGGAATCATTTCCGAAAATCGACGACTTTACAAGCTTTAGAATCTTTTGCAACCAATCCAATCACTCTCTTTCCTCCGTAATTTGTACCCATATTATTCAACAAATAGTAAATGCAAATTCCATGATACACGTTCTCAACTGCCCTACAAAACGAGCTATTTTTGTCTAACAAAAAGGCTAGAGAACACTCGCCTGCAACAACAACTTTTAGTTGTCTTTTAAAACAATCTCATGAACGATCATTTTCTAAGTTCACAACCCCAAATGAAATAGGATACAAATTAGAGTTTTCATCTAAAGTTGTCGCAGCAAGTAATATCCCTTTGTATTTACTCTTCAAAAATGTCCCATCAACAACAAAACCTTTTCGAATGACTGTATGAAAACCTTGTACTGATTCTCCAAACGAAACGAATAGAAATTGAAATTTACCATCTACATCAGTTTCATAAGACATATGTGTTCTGGATTAGCTTCTCTCAGCATGTGCAAATATTTCAGAATTTTCTCAAAACTCTTATCTAGAATATCTCTAACCAAATTAATTGCAAACTCACGAGCATCCATACTAAGGATTTAGATATCTTGCATTCATGATCCATTCTCATGATTTGTATGACATCATTAATTTTGGGACCTTCATTCACACATCCTACCTATGCATTATTATACTGCCAATAGTTTTGCATAAGCTGTCTGACCACCTTTATTCATACTTGATGCAACACATATATGATCTGCCACATTTTTTATGATGAAATATGCGGATTCTGATAACCTCTCAGCACGAAAACTCCATCTGCACTTGTTGTCAATGCATCAAATATACAAATGTTTTCTATCTGATTTCACAACTCTGTGATTGAAGTTATGCTTCATTTCTGAGATTTCGAATGTTGCCGTAGAATGTAGATAACACGGTAGCCTGTGTAATTCGAATGCGGTAGGGATATAGTGTTTTGGTAGATAACTCAAGCATACATCTGTATTGGTTCATAGATAGATTTGTGATTTGTTTCTATATATTTTGTATAATTGTTTATATTTTCTGACTGTTAAATAATTTAATTTTTTTTTTTAAAGTTGACCAAAGATATCTAAATCTAAAATGGATTAAAAAGAGATTTATGACAGAGGGACAATGCATTAAATATTTTGTTATGTTTGAAAATTTTCTCTTGTTTTTTCTTAAACATTAACTATCACCTGAATGCTCACATAACTATTTATAAAACAATTATTAACAATACATATAGATATACTTTGATTTTCTTAAGATGGAAACTTAATTAAAGAAGCATTGTAAATATAGCAACAACAAAATGTGTACATAAGTAAATATATATTACCTATGGAAATGTAACCAAATAACTAACAATCTATATTATAATAGTAGACTTTCTAGGCTCCACAACGCACCACGTCAGCAATTTTTTGGGTCCCGTAGGTATTTTTTTTAAAGTTATAGTCTTGGTAAGATGATTACAAACAATGAAATACACTTTAGCCAAGTGGTATAAGGTGTCTAACTAAGCATGCAAGATCGTGGGTTCAAACCACGCAGCCATCATTTATTTTTGATTTTTTTATTTGGGTTATTATCATATGGGCTTTTTGTTTGTAAGGTTTTTATGTTTTTTCTTATGGCTTATTATTTTAAAGATCAAAATATTTGGATAAATCTTAAAACTTAACGAGTTCAAACAAAAAATAGTTATAAATGGATGCAAAAACGAACAATAAAAAAAAGCAAGTCTCACGCGGTTGCCTACGCGGATGGCTTAAAGAGCCTTAAAACTATCCTATTATAATATATAGTTCAACCCAAAAATAATAAAAAATGAATCCAAAAACAAACCGACCAAAAAAAAAGTGAATCCCACGCGGTTACCTACGTGGATAGCTTAATGACGCTTGAATAATATAGATTAAGAGCTCAAAAAGTGAAACCATTGCACATATTTCCGAATATATATTTTCAAAACATTTGTATGTGAGATAAAATAAAATAAAAACAAAAATTAATTATTTTCGTTATTTATTTAATGCATATGTAATTTCTCTTACATTTTAATAACGACTATAATTTTATTGAAAACATTCCTCACCACTGATTTCAGACTCCGGCGAATGGATTCTCACAGTCGATGATGCCGTAAATAAAAATGCCACATCATTTTTGAACAAAACTCAAACTTACAAAAAACCATATATAAAAATCTATCTAATGAAACTTAAACAACGAATGTTAACTTAATTAAGGTTATTTTCAAATTGAAAAATCGTTTAATACAAATATAAATACTATAAATATAGAATTATATCAAGTTTTGACCTACAATATAAAAACTATTTACAGCAAAAAAAACACCTACTTTTACACACTAGAAACTATATTATAGCCTAACTATTCCTATAAACCTTACTTCGCATATAAATAACACTAGACCTTGACCCGCGCGCCCGCGCGGGTGTTTTTTTTCGATTTTAAATGTATTGATATTTATCATATGTTATGTAATTGTGATATTAGAGATATTATATTCTATGGTGATTAACAAAAGTGTAAATGATGAATTACATTAATTATTTAAATCTAAATGGTTGAAAGAGATTTTTGTTAATCATATAATTTGTATGTGGTAATGTTTTAATTTTATAGCCAATAAACAAATAATTGATAAGTTTTTATACTCACTTGCATAGAGTACATGCAATATGGCGGTCGTATGTATTACCAATAAGGAAGTGGGTTTTTAAGGTCCCATTGATGACGTCTTCGTATTTGGAAAGAGATAGGAAGATACTATCATCAGTTAAGTCGGAACTTGATATCAAAGTTTTCTCAGTGATGAACATCTTGTATGGATGGGTTGTTGGCCGATATTGGCCTTGTGAAATGGTGAACGTTGTGAGAATACACCATTTTCCAAGGGTAGTTTTCTCTTAACATTTAAAATCTCATTCTTTTTGCACATAGCATGAATCTTATCACCCTACAAATTATGCACAATTCAATTTAAGTCACTTATAGCAAGGAACACATAAATAATGATTGATTGCGTTCTGAAACTTACATGTTCATCGGTTAGAACCATATGAAGAGTCTCTCCACCAAATGAAGGGTTTTGAATGCAATGCGTAGGTTTTTGTTTAACGTAAAACTCAAAGTATCAAAATATATATAGGTGAGATATTGATGAGAATAAAATATATTAGTTAATTATAAATCTTGATGATCAAGTAGTGTAGATAAGGAATATACTCAATGTTTAGAATATTTTTAAAAGATTTTCGTATTAAGTTTTTCGATTTTGTAGTTAGGAAAGTTTGAATTTATCGATAGAATTAACTTATTGTAAGCAACCAATCCTATAATTCAGTGATTGGAATTATTGTCGTATCTAATATATTATATTCATTTTTAAATGCGAAACATTAAATGTAGGAGATAATTATGGTAATTACTTTAGATTCTAAAATATTTGGAAAATTGATTTGATTTCTTAATATTTTTGATTTGATATTATCATATTTATTGTTTTGATATATTAGATGGGAAAGGGAATCTGCACGAAATCTTTTCCAGTTCGTTTTCTTTGTTAGAAATATTTTGAATTATATAAATATGAATAATATTGTTAAAAAATAATTTATTTAATCAATTAAGTGGGCTAACCGAATGGTTTATACTCAGAAATGTATTTTAGTCAAACAAAAAGTAAGGTTTAAAAATAAGATTAAAGTTCCAATATCATACTCTTAGTTTTATTTTGTAGGTTATTCTTTTTTTAGTTTGTAGGGTATTCATATGTCAATTTGGCAATGGATTATTCGAAGTCCGACAAACCGGTTTCCTTTAAAAAGATTTCGTTGTGATTAGAGATGGGTAGAGATGGTTATTAGAAAGCTAATTAGGTCCACTTCTAGGTTAGTGAAAACAAAATGTAGCCCATTAAATTGTTGAAGAAAAAACGTTATGGGCTTTGCCTTAACGAAACCAAATTTTTTTAAATGAAAGCAGTGGCAGAGGATGGTAAATAAAGAGAAGAAGTCAGGATTATTTTCCAGATGTACTTCACTTTTAATATATTAGATTTAACTCATTCCTAATATATTTTCAAAAAATTGTATGTGAAATAAAATAAAATTAACCAAAAAATTTAAGTATTTTTTCGTTATTTATTAAATGAATATGTAATTTCTCTTACATTTTAATAACTACTATAATTTCATTGAAAACATTCCTCACCACCGCTCCAGACTTCGGCGAATGGATTCCCACAGTCGATGACGCCGTAGATAAAAATGCCACATCATTTATGAACAAAACCCAAACTTACAAAAAACCATATATAAAAACCTATCTAATGAAACTTAAACAATGAATATTAACTTAATTAAGGTTATTTTTAAATTAATAAATCGTTTAATACAAATATAAATTCTATAAATATAGAATTATATCAAGTTTTGACATACGATATAAAAACTATTTACAGAAAAAAAAAAATAAACACCTACTTTTACACACTAAAAACTATATTATAGCTTAACTGTTCCTATAAACCTTACTTCGCATATAAATAACATTTAACACATTAGATAAACAATATTTTCACTTTACACTCTTACTACATTCTTTCCATTTCATTATTATTTGGTGTCATTAGAAGAATCCACTAAACCACTAAATCGAAAAAATATACGCAAACATAATGATTTCGACTCCGCGCTTGCGCAGAAAGTATGCAACTAGTTATAATAATGACCTTACAACGTGTACTACCGTAGTATTAATAAATTATATACGCCAAAGTACCTTTTTATCATAGGTGGTGGATTCATTGATATATTTGAATAATATTTAAATTATGTATCCAAAACAATAAGAATCTTTTGCAAAAAAAATTTCAAGTGTCCTTTTTGCAATTTAATCCACGAAATTTGAAATTCACGGGTTAACTCTCTATTTTCTAATCAAACCACAATATAAATCACTTATGTAGCAATGTTGTGATGGCCATTTGCTTTTTTTTTTTTTTTAACATAACTCCAAACTACGTTGTTTGTTACTAAATATTACATTAATAAACAACAAAATGTGTACATAAATAAATATATGTTACCTACCGAGTTGTAACCAATAACTAATAATTATATTATTGACCGTAAAACGTGTACTAATCGTAGTATTGATAAATTGTATACACCAAAATACCTTTTTACCATAGGTGGATTCATTGACATGTTTGAATAATATTTAAATTATTTATCAACAAAAATAAGAGTTTACAAAAAAAATTCTCAATGTGATGTTTTTTTTTTTTGCAATTTAATATACAAAATAGAAAATCCATATGTCAACTATCCATGTTCAAGTCAAACCACAATATAAACCATCTATATATCAATGACGTGTTGACCATTTATTTTTTAACATAACTCAAAAATACGTCATTTTGATACTAAGCAAATATGTGCTTGTGTCTAATAGACGAACGAATATATTTGATATGGAAGTTGGTTTGGTGGCTTGTTATGTCTGATTGTGGTGCAAGTTCATATCCCATCGAGTTCAATTTTTAATCTAATGACTAGAGACTTGATCCGCACGTTTGTGTGGGTATATTTTTTATTTTTAAAATATATATTTAATATTAACCTCAACATTTTAGTATATATATTTAAATTTTTGTTATATTGTGTAATTTTAAAATTTTATTCATTAAGTTTTATTCGACATTATTAATATATAATATTTTGTAATTTTTTATTCAACATTATTAATATATAATGTTTTTTTTGTTTGTTATAGGTGCTAATATATTTTCGAGTAAGTAAAACAAATTCAAAATTTGAAATGATCAAATAGATAATCTCCTTTAGAATATGTTTTCAATAAAATTCTATAAGTTGCATTCAAAACATTTTTTTTGATTTTATTTATCTATTATAAAATAATATTTAGTTAGGCTAATTGATATTTCCATTTTGTGTTTAAAATCTAACTTTAACATATATCATTTTAGTATATTTCAAAATTTATAAATATATGTATTATTTTGCTTAACTAATTTAGCAATATTAATTTTATAAATTTTATATATAGTAGCATCTATGATATTATTTTAGTAATTTTTATCAATATAAAAATATTTGGGATATTATGGTATTAAGTTCTCTGATTTTTTTTATTATATTAATATTTCAAAATATTACACTACTTTCTTTTAGATAGTATTTTTTTTTTCTTCCATGTAAAAAATACACTTGATCATCTATAATTTTATCTTTTATAATTTGATTTTTTTCAATTTAAGTTTAAAATACTTATTCTCAAAATTGTATCTTTGATCAATAAATATTTTGAAAAGTACTAAATATATTTGATTTTGAAAGATTACATGACTTTGAAATTTTTGTTACTAAATTAATGCAATATTTTATACAAGTTGGTTATATTTTATATATTTTCTCAACATATTATTTTCTAATTAAAAAATAAATTTGTAGTTAATAAGATTTTTCATTATTATTTTATGAATTATGAAAAATTTCTGACATATAACTTTTAATTAATACATGAACTAAAAGTTAGTCATATACTAATATATTATGTATATACTCATTTTTAGATAGTATATAGTTGTGAGTTTTAAATTAAGTTAAAAATAAGATATAGTTGTAGATATAAAAACTTACCTTTGCTAACATTTTTTTTGTATAAAAATATACATAGTTTATGTATGTTAATCTTTTTAACGGTGAATAACTGTTTGATTTCAAGTGAAATAAATATAAAATAAAAAAGTTAATTTACCAAATTTATCATTTTTTAATTCGTTGTGTACTTCTATTTTAATATAATATAAACTATAATATGAAATTTTAAAATATGATTGAATTTTTATTTTATAGTAAAATTTTAGTTATTATTAATGTATAAAACTATTATATTATTAATTACGAAATTAATTATTGTGTTATTTTGTAAAAAAAATATATTTGAACTTTTAGTAAGATTTTGTTATATTTTTTTCTCAACTGATTTTTGTATAACTAAAAATAAAATTTAAATCTATTTTTCAGCATATTTGGTATATATTTTATTGATAAATGTTAATAATCAAATATGTCATATTAAGTATTTTATAGTATTTAAATGAAAAAATAAAAATAAAAAATTGAATTTACCAAATTTTCTATTTTTATTTAATTCATAGAGTTATTCTGTTTTAATATAATATAGACTATAATATGGAAATTACAATATGATAGAACTTTTATTTCTGTTTTATAATAAAATTTTAATTAATAATATGATAACATTATATTATTAATTACGAAATTAATATTGTGTTATTTTATAAAAACATATTTGAATTTTTAGTGAGATTTTATTAGATTTTTTCTCAACTGATTTTGTTATAACTTAAATAAAATTCAAATCAGGTATGTTTGGTGTATATTTGATTGATTATTGTAAATAATCAAATATTTCATATTAAGTAATTATTGAAATAGTTCTACCTAGACTTATTTATAGTAAATAAAAAGTGATTCTATTTTAATAGAATAGATTAGTATCAAAACAACGTATTTTTTATTTCTAGTAAAAAATAAATGTTTGCCATATTATTGTTATATCGCAGTTTGACTGAAATTTGGAGGGTTGACTCGTAATTTAGATTTCGTGAATTAAATTTCAAAAAGAATTCAGTTGTTTTGCAGAAAATGACTCATTTACTATATTAACCATGTGGCAATAAACAAACTGAAGTTTCTGAATTAAAACTTAAAGATTTGGTTTTCCGTTCAATTAAAAGGTTAAATTCGATTTGACAATTAAAAATTACTTTTTGGTTTGATAATAGTTCGTTGATTTTTTTAGAATAATTTTTTTTCTAAACCAAACTAATTTGATCTTAAAATTTCTGAAACAAACTAATCAAACTAACAAAATCCAAACCAAAATAATCAAACTAAATTTAACCAAATTAGGAAACTTTGGTATAAATTTTTAAAACCATGATAACCAAAATTAAAACCAAACAAAATCAAACCAATTTTTTTGTACAATTCGGTGAGATTTCACCAAGCAAACAAAACGGATCCGAAAATGGAATTAACCGCAGCTAGACGATACCAAAATAATAGTTAGAGAAGAAAAATTGTGACACTTTCCCGAACTCCAATTTTAGTTATAGCAATTGAATTGATGATGTAAAAGAGAAAACATTGTAAATGGAAAAGAGGTGACACAAAATTAAAATGATATTTACGGAACTGCCCATTATTATTTATTGATATGGGTCATCTTGTGAAACCGCCAGAGAGAGAGAGAGGTAGGAGGCAAACACTCAAAACGTTTGGCATCGAAAGCGACTTCCTTTATTCACTGCCATGAGGCCCATGACCACGTTCTTCATTGATGACCGTTTTACCCTCAGAGAGAAGAGAGAGAAAATGTGAAAGCACTACTGCAAGGACGTCTCTTTCTCTCTATCTCTCTCCTCTGCAAAGCTTCAGAACTCTGGCAGAAGGAAAGATGATGGGGTTTTTAACTTTATCCTCCCAATAATTCCTCTTCGTCTCTCCCACACAGTCCCTACAGTTGTACATTTTCCCTCTTTAACACACATTTATGTGTGTTTCCTCTCTCTCTCCTCTCTCCATCTCTATCTCAGTCTGTGTTCCTGTCGCTTGAGCACTCAATGAAACACTGTAAACCGAGCCAGAAGGATGTGATGTAACGATAAAAATCAAGACTTTTCCCTCAGTGAAAGTTAAAAAAAAAATTAAATTTTATATAGAAATAAAAAGAAAAAACATCAATTTGGGTAGAGTCTCTTTCTGAATCATAAAAAAAAATCTAATGTCGGTACATGTGGTTCTCTTCTCTATCTTCTTCTTCTTCTTCATGGAGAGTTAGAGTTTTCTTTTTCTTAGCATATTTGGGGTTAAGAAAAATACGCAGTTGTTTTAGCTTGTACGCATGTTGAAATGGCCCTGCTTAGAGAAGTCGTCCTTCTCGGATTTCTCATCTGTTTGAGCTTTGGGACTACCGTAAATTCAGACAATGGTAAGTGCATGTTTGACTTTGAAGTGTAAATGAAGATCTGGGTACTTGCCACTTTCTTTTTTTCTTTTGTTGACTTCTTGGGTCTTTTCTAGCGACGCTGAATATATTAGGGTTTGAGTTTTGAATCTTCTTGGAAGTTGAATTTTTTAAGTACTTTTTTTTTCTCAAACGCTGACAAATGTTTTTTTTGTTTTTGTTTATGTGCGTGTGTTAATAAAATATCCTAATTAAAAAAAGGAGCAACATTGCTGGAGATTAAGAAGTCCTTCAAAGATGTGAACAATGTGCTCTATGACTGGACAGGTTCACCTTCTTCGGACTATTGTGTCTGGAGAGGTGTGACTTGTGATAATGTCACCTTCAATGTTGTTGCTCTGTAAGTGTCATCCTTTTTCTTTAGTGTTAGGTTTGATTTTCTCGCGGAAAAGTTCTAATTTGTTTTGTGCCTCTATATGTTGTTTAGTAATTTGTCAGATTTGAATCTTGATGGAGAAATCTCACCTACTATTGGAGATCTTAAGAGCCTCTTATCCATGTAACTATTTAAGCAATCACTGTAGCCGGAGTTAAAGTTTATACTTTTTTTGTTTTGTTGTGACTTCGTGGTGGTTATTGTTGTGTTTTGTTTTGTTTTTTTTTTTTTTTTATTATGACGCAGTGATCTCCGAGGTAATCGTTTGTCTGGGCAAATTCCTGATGAGATTGGTGACTGTTCTTCTCTGCAAAATTTGTAAGCACTTAATTAATGAAAACTAATTTGTGTGTTTGGAAATTTTAAGTGGTTGAAGTGTGTTCTTGTTTCTTCATTCAGGGACTTGTCTTTTAATGAATTAAGTGGTGACATACCGTTTTCGATTTCCAAGTTGAAGCAACTTGAGCAGCTGTAAGTTTCTTGTAGTTATCTTGCACATATATAAGTACATGTGGAATATAAATTTTTACCATTTTTACCAGGATCCTCAAGAATAACCAATTGATAGGACCAATTCCTTCAACGCTTTCGCAGATTCCAAATCTGAAAATTCTGTAAGTTTCTTAAAGAAACTTTCTTCTGATATTTTTATATTTTTAGCTACATATATTACCAGAGTCTGAAGTTTCAGTCGTCTGTGACAAATTCCAGGGACCTGGCACAGAATAAACTCAGCGGGGAGATACCAAGACTTATTTATTGGAATGAAGTTCTTCAATATCTGTAAGTGTCCATGCTTTGAAGCTTGACTCTTTCCATGTCTCTTCTTACCTTGTGATGACCCTTGTTATATGACGATCAGCGGATTGCGCGGAAACAATTTAGTGGGTAACCTTTCTCCAGATTTGTGTCAGCTTACAGGTCTATGGTATTTGTAAGTCAATGGATCTCTTCTTCTCATCTCAATAGTATGTTTAGTTCACTTTTTCAATATGAATGAATCTGACTATGTTTTCTTATTTTTATTTTTACAATCAGTGACGTGAGGAACAACAGCTTGACGGGTAGTATCCCTGAGACGATAGGAAACTGCACTGCCTTCCAGGTTTTGTATGTGCCTGTCTCTGCTTCTATACATCCTTATTGTAGTTTAGTCACTTTGTAAAGTTGCTTAACTAGTTTGGTTATTTTTTAACTCAGGGACTTGTCCTATAATCAGCTAACTGGCGAGATTCCTTTCGACATTGGTTTCCTTCAAGTAGCCACATTGTTAGTCCTCTTTTTTTGCTCTGTTCATATTGTCTCATATGCGCTCGCTTACAAGAAGTTTGGTTTATCTTCTTAGATCATTGCAAGGCAACCAGCTTTCTGGGAAGATACCATCAGTGATTGGTCTCATGCAAGCTCTTGCAGTGTTGTAAGTTATTTTCTTCTAATCAAGAAAGATAATTTCAACATTTCTCTTGTCTTATGTGGTTTCATTTTTTCTTATACAGAGATCTAAGTGGCAACGTGCTGAGTGGGCCTATCCCTCCCATTCTGGGAAATTTGACTTTCACAGAGAAATTGTAATTCTTTACCTTCATAGTCTCTTCATTATATACCTTGTGGAAAATCCAAATGGAAAATTAACCTTTGGATTTACAAAGCAGAAGTCTTTTCACTACTATATGAAAGTCTGATGACTCTTTAGAGTTTAGTTTATAGTTGTAGTGATTACCATTTTGGCTTTTATCTACAGGTACTTGCACAGTAACAAGCTAACTGGTTCAATTCCACCTGAGCTTGGAAACATGTCAAAACTCCATTACTTGTACGAACAACCATTTCTTCACCTGTGTTTCGCCATACAACTACTATGACCTTTTGTTTCATCATCATAATTTGTACAATATTTTGCAGGGAGCTCAACGATAATCGTCTTACAGGTCATATACCACCAGAGCTTGGAAAGCTTACTGACTTGTTTGATCTGTAAGTAACGACTTCCTTTGCTTGACCTGTTTTTATGTTTGAATATTGATGTGAACTATTGACATTTAGGAATGTGGCTAACAATGACCTGGAAGGACTTATACCTGATCATCTGAGCTCATGTACAAATTTAAACAGCTTGTAAGTGTTTCTTTTAAAAATTAAAACTTCACACTCTAGTGTTTAAGATTTTTTGCTTCCCTATGGTTTTGTATATTTCACTATTGTAACTGCAGGAATGTTCATGGGAACAAGTTCAACGGAACCATACCCCGAGCGTTTCAAAAGCTTGAGAGCATGACGTACCTGTAAGAATTGATGCTTAAAATTTTTAAACTAGTGCTATTTTTTCTTTGGAGGGGATATTAATGCCATGAACTACTGCATTTTATCGGTTCAACCAGTAATCTCTCCAACAACAATATCGGAGGTCGAATTCCAGTAGAGCTATCTCGTATCGGCAATTTAGATACACTGTAAGCATTTTGTATTTGTTTTTCTGCAAAGTACTTATCTATGGGTATTTTATATATCTCTGTGACCTCTTTTGTAAAGGGATCTTTCCAACAACAAGATAAATGGTATCATTCCTCCCTCCCTGGGTGATTTAGAGCATCTTCTCAAAATGTGAGCATCGATGGCACCTCCCCTTTCTTGTTTCGTGTGAGTCAAAGAGGAATGGTTTATGAGATGTGGCTTTCTTGTTATAGGAACTTGAGCAGAAACCATATAACGGGTGTAGTTCCTGCCGACTTCGGAAATTTAAGAAGCATCATGGAGATGTAAGAACTATATTCTATTTGCTTTGTTAGAGTTCTTTTACATTTCACATTCCTGCTCTGAATCTATCGTCTTTTTCTTTTTGGTTCCAGAGATCTTTCAAATAATGATATATCAGGCCCAGTTCCCGAAGAGCTTAACCAACTGCAGAATATGTATTTGTTGTAAGAAATCTTCCTCTAACTACTTCTACGTTGTTGAGAATCATTTTGTGTGGTAGAAAATTAGTTCCGCAGTATCTTTCTCAGTATTACATATCTTCAGGGTTATTGCGTTCCAGTATTATGAAGATATAAATCAGGACAAAACCAATGTGTGATCTATCTAACGTTATAATTCCTTAAAATTGCAGGAGACTGGAAAATAATAACTTAACCGGTAATGTTGGTTCATTAGCCAACTGTATCAGTCTTACTGTATTGTAAGTAGACTCCATTTCCACTCTTTTTTTTTTGCGTCTCTATATGAAACTTGTGCTAAGAACTTTAACCCTGCACTCTCTACTAACTTATGTAGGAATGTTTCTTACAACAACCTAGTTGGTGATATTCCTAGCAGCAATAACTTCTCAAGATTTTCTCCAGACAGGTATGGTAGTTAGCGTGTATTTTGTTTTTGTTGGCTAATACTAATCTCTCATTGTTTTTTTTCTAAAGCTTCATTGGCAATCCTGGCCTTTGTGGTAGTTGGCTAACCTCGCCCTGTCATGTTTCTCGTCCAACAGTACGAGGTAGTTTATCTCTCTCCTGAAAACTTCCATCAGCAAAATGTAATGTTTCTCAACAACCCTTCATTCGTTTTGCACAGTGTCAATCTCTAGAGCAGCTATTCTTGGGATAGCTATTGGGGGATTTCTCATCCTTCTTATGGTCCTTATAGCAGCTTGCCGGCCGCACAATCCTCCTCCGTTTCTGGATGGATCACTTGACAAACCAGGTTTTACTTACCAAATCCATTTTCCTTTCTTCTAATGTTGTAGTCCACTAGCTGATCCTTTAGTTTCTTGGTCCCATCAGTAGCCTATTCTCACCCGAAGCTGGTCATCCTTCATATGAACATGGCACTCCACGTTTACGAGGATATCATGCGAATGACAGAAAATCTCAGTGAGAAGTACATCATTGGGCACGGAGCATCGAGCACTGTATACAAATGCGTTTTAAAGAACTGCAAACCGGTTGCGATTAAGCGTCTTTACTCTCACAACCCACAGTCAATGAAACAGTTTGAGACTGAGCTTGAGATGCTTAGTAGTATCAAACATAGAAATCTTGTAAGCCTACAAGCCTATTCCCTTTCTCCCTTGGGAAGTCTTCTCTTCTATGACTACATGGACAATGGCAGCCTATGGGATCTTCTTCACGGTAGGTCTCCATAATATAAACTTATTTGATTCCAAATACACTAATTTGAGATGCATGTATTGTGTTGTTTTCCAAAGGCCCCACGAAGAAGAAGACTCTTGATTGGGACACACGGCTTAAGATAGCATATGGTGCTGCACAAGGACTAGCGTATCTACACCATGACTGTAGTCCAAGGATCATACACAGAGACGTGAAGTCTTCCAATATTCTTTTGGACAAAGACTTAGAGGCTCGTTTGACAGATTTCGGAATTGCGAAGAGCTTGTGTGTCTCAAAGACACATACTTCAACTTACATCATGGGCACAATTGGTTACATAGACCCCGAATATGCACGCACTTCACGTCTCACCGAGAAATCCGATGTCTACAGCTATGGAATAGTGCTGCTCGAGTTGTTAACCAGAAGGAAAGCCGTTGACGATGAGTCCAACCTCCACCATCTGGTTTGTCCCCTTCCTTTCTTGTCCTTCTAGTTTTGTTCAGTTTGGTTCGTGATTCTGTTTTCATTTACAGATAATGTCCAAGACAGTGAACAATGCAGTGATGGAAATGGCAGATCCAGATATCACATCGACTTGTAAGGATCTCGCGGTGGTGAAGAAGGCTTTCCAGCTTGCACTACTGTGCACCAAAAAACAGCCAAGCGATCGACCTACAATGCATCAGGTGGTTCGTGTCCTCGGCAGTTTCATGTTGTCGGAACAACCACCAGCCGCGGCAGCAGCCACTTCAACAACGCTGACCGCTTCGTGCTACGTCGATGAGTATGCAAATCTCAAGACTCCTCACAGTGTCAACTGCTCTTCCATGAGTGCCTCAGATGCTGAGCTCTTTCTTCGATTTGGACAAGTCATTTCTCAGAACAGTGTCTGAGAAAAATGTTGGTGTTGTGAACCGTTTTCTAGGAGAACGTTAGATATCTTCTATTATGTCTTGTAAAAATTGTGCACGGCCTTATTATTATTAGTTAAGAGTGTTAATATCTTTTCAGACAGACACCTAGACGTGCTTTTTTCTATCTTAACTTCATCCTTTTGGAAAATAATTGTTGAATGATTGAAGCACACGCAGTATGTATCATTTCAGCATTCGTTAAATCATTAATATATTTCTTTCATCAAGATAATATTAATGTTTTGGTCAAGATAATATTAATTTAAACTTGTCGAATACAAAAACTGGCAGAAAATCGTAACATAATCCCAATAGAAAGAAAATTAGAATCCAAAGTCGGGCTAATAAATCTTGTAACTAAAAATCGAGAATAACAGACATTTTTGGTGCTGCAATGAAGACGAAGGAGTTTAGAAAAAGCGAAATCAGCCGGATGCTAAAAATGGGTATAACTAGCCGAGAAGAATACATGCTGACGAATCAAAATGCAGCACCCGAGAATCTTGACTTCCAAAACAAAAAGCAGAAAAGGAGCTTCAGCCATAAGGACTGCTGAGCGAAAAAAAACTTGACTCGCGACCATCTTTTCACCAAAAATAGCTAGTCACAATCAGTGGCGGATGCAGAGAAGAGTTTCATAGGGGGCAATTTGATATTGTTCAAAGAATTAAGGATAAATATATTCAAATCAAAGGAGACATAACTGAAATTCTTCAAGGTTTTGCTTAAAATTGTGAAAAAGCATAGGGGCATATGCCCCACCCTTACACAGTCTGGCTCCACCACTGGTCACAAATCACAATCTATGATCCACTAGACCACTCACTCTTATTGAAGAAGCGTTTTTACTCCAAACCAAAATCCCGAAAACCGTAAAAAACAAAACTTTATCCAATCCGTTATACAAAAATAAACGAAAGAAGTTTAAGAGTTTGGTATTTTTGGGTTTAGTTACAACTTGAACCGAACCAAAATTATTTAAATAGTAGACGATTCTCTCATGCTCATGCACATATATAAATATTTATAAATAAATAGATTATAATAACTGATTGATTTTACTTTTACTTTTAAAATAATATATAATTTAAATGTTTAATTTATATTAATAATATTATATTGTTTTAATTAGACATATGATTTTAGATATATTTTATCTAGTCGGTTTGACCTTTTGGGGTCAACAGTAAATTTAGTTATCACGTGGATATATTGGACTGCATCTATTTCTTTGAATTCATCTATAATATTTTTTATTCTAAATATATATATATATATATATATTTTTTTTTTCCTTCTGAATATTTCCTTGAAAGCCAACGGCTAGTACATTGTACAGTGTCGATATCTTACATACATTCAAAAGGTGAAGGAGAGGCAACATTACAAACGAAGGGCCTCCCTATCAAAAACGTTTGAAAGCCATCGGGGTTGACCATGAGCAATATAAGACTGAAACCATCTATCTTTCACCGCACTTTGCGCAATAAGTCGAGCTCCCATATTTGTTTCAAACGCTTCACAACATACTTTCCATTCCAAAAAATTCCCAAGTATTAGTCTGATTTCTCTCACTTTAAACTTGAAAGAAGGCCATGCCCTTGGCCTATTAATGGCAGTCACCAAAAATTTCCTTCAAATCCAAAGTGAACCTTCAAACATCTATGACTAACCATACTTTCCATAGCCCACTCTGTACTTAAAAAAACCGCCTCATCCTTTGACCCCACTGATCCAAAGGAACAATGGCTATGGAGTAACACCACTCCACGATAATTCCTTAAGACCCAAGAAGCTCCAGCTATCTTTGTCTTTTTTGACCAAGCCACTCCAATATTACATTTGACAAAGCTCCAAGGTGGAGCTTTCCATACATTATCCCTTCTACCCATTCCCACATTGTTTCCTCCGTCTTCTCCATTCTCCAAATCTTGAGCTAAATACCATAACTCCGCTTCCTCTCTTGCTTTCTCACAAACTTGTTCCCCCTCATATATAATTCCTTCAAACATAAGGGAATTTCTATTTTTCCATAGATACCACAAGGTCCAAGGGAACACTCTCGCTACGTCCTTATCCCAGCGATGTTCCTTCCATACTCGTAACAAGTAGCTCAGTGGCCAAAACTTTTGAAAGAACAAAGCCGACATTCCATCAGGCCCAGGTGCCTTTGTTGGATTTATGGAGAACACTGCTTCCTTCACCTCTAGAGCTGAAACAGGTTTCGTAAGGTGGTCATTCATGTGTGTTGTCACTCGAGGTGTCATACCTTGAAACCATGTACTAGACGGTGGAGGGTTAGATGATTTGAACAAGTTTGAATAGAATTCCACCGCAACTTCTCCCTTGGCTTCTTCTGAGAACACATCCACTCCATATGTGTTAGCTAGCTTCTCAATAACATTTCTAGCCCTGGATGCTTTAACAGAATTATGGAAAAATCGAGTGTTCTTGTCACCACAATTAAGCCATTTGTCTTTGCTCTTCTGCCACCAATATGTTTCTTCGTCTTTGTATGCTTTTACCAACTCTCTTTTCAGAAAGTTAATTTGTGAAACAGAAGGGCAGTTTGATGATTGCTCATGTTCCAAAGCATATTCTGCTTGTGTAATTCTATCTCGGGCATTGAGATTGACCTGCTTCTTCAGGTTGCTGAGAGACTTCCTACATGCTTTGAGACGTTATAAGAGTAATCCATTGTTAAAAGAACCTCCAAAATCCCACGCATTGATCACATTATCTCTAACACCTTCCACCTCCAAAAGTCTCCTATCAAATTTAAACCAGCCTCTGTAGGATTCTTGAGCTTCAATATGATTGATAAGCACTGTGGGAGTCGATTTCACCCTACTGTCAAATAAATCGTAAATAAGGAAACTTCGGGAAAACCCTAAGTTTCCAGAGGAACCGGCTATCTGCGAGAACCGCACAACGAAAATAAGAAAACGATAACTTAGAATAAAAACGAAAATAAGAGAGATTTGAAAGCAAGAAGGTTCTTATTCCGAATCTGCGTTGAACTGGT